TTTATATATATATATAAAAAAAAGAAAGAGAGAGAGAGAAAAGAAAAGCTAACAAATAATCGTGGAAGTAGATTTTAAGGGTAATAAAAATAAAATTCACAATTTCCCTCTAAACCACATTAAATAACTTCTGCTTTAAAGTCTAAACAGCGCTATGGAGCCCGGGATGGAACATGGAGAAAAATGTCTCATGCACTATTTATTATCTTAAAATCCATGTTCTCTCCCAAGCTTCATACAATAGAAACTTTTGTAAGGCATTAATTCTGTGATGATACAGCACGCAGAGTAGAAAAACAGTGAACTGGGCTGAAACCATATTAGAGCAGCAAACGGTTGAAAGGATATCTTAATGCAAAATGTAATTATTAGAAAAAAAATCGGAGTAACTCACCTTCACCTTTCGGTCATCTTGCTCACAGTCGCGAGAGATATGGCCTTGATTACCACATGTATAGCAGGTTTTATCCTGTTCCCTGCATTCCCGTGCAATGTGGCCAGATCTTCCACAGTTGTAACATGACACTAATAAAACAAAAACAATAATTTTAGTAGCATAAAATCACACATCTAAAACCAAGAATCATCACAGTACTGAAAAATCTGATTACATCAGTAGAAGTTCGATACAGGTCAAACTTCAGTCTTTTAGAGAAACAGCTTCCTTTATAAACCAAACAAAAAACTTGTAATATTAGCATCAGAAACAAAACTTTCTTAATATAAAAATGTTGCACACCTGACCAAACATGTTATAAAAGATCTGAGTCAGGTGATCAGTTACTCATCTCGTTATTGATTTGAAAACTTCTATGATGTCTGGAGGAACTGAAATATGAAATAATTTCTACATATGCAATCAAAATGATTGAGCATGAACAAAAATATATAATCAAGATTAAATGTAACAACCGGTCATTTCTAACAATCGCTTCACAAAGCACTATGATGAGATACTTAGGCCCTTCCTAGGTTTTTTTGAATAAAATACATTTTGTGCACAAATTTACCTACATTAATTTTTAAAATGACATCCAATATGTCATAAATTATCAAAAAAATTTGTAACTATCAGTACCCAAGTATCATCAGTAACTTAAAAAAAATAAGTTTTCTCCAATAGCTGTTTCACAATAACACTAAATATGGATCACGTTTAAATTCTCATTCTGTTGCATTTGAAGCAAGTACCAATCATTTCTTTTAAATCTTACTTCATCATAAGTTAGACTATTAACTAATCACTGTGATTAGTACTTTCCACTATCTCAAAGGGAGAAACAAATTGGTTATTTTTGTTGTTTTTTTTAAGATAAAAGAAACTTCATGTACATATACATGTAAAATTGCTTCTTAACTGACTGAAGTAATTTTTTGGTTATTTCTACTTCTGTCTAAGTGAAGGCCTAACTCAGTAGTTCTGAGAATCTGGTGTACTCTATTATCAGTAAGTTTGATCTTAGATAAACACGAGTCACAACGAAGCTTTTTATCAGCAAAATCCAAATTCGCAAGGCAATGAATTGTGGTAAATAACTACAGTATTAAAGAAAAAAAAAGGGTGGGTGGGTGGAAATCCTTTGAAAACAATTTCTATACTTGTACCAAACATTTACATAGTAAATAAAAATCCTGATAAGTGTAATATTATGCCTACAGCTAATGATAATGATGGCTGTATCTCAACTCTTGCTTGAACATGACAGTACTGTAGTTGAGATCTTAAAGACCTAATGAAAATTATAGTACAGTCAAAAGAAACCATACAAGCCTTTTAGATTATTCTATAATGATTAGTTTCTGTGCAATTAATAACACTTTAATCTCTTTACATGTAATATAGGAAAAGAGTCCATTGTACATTTGGGTTAGATCAAATGTCATTAAACTATTCATCCGAACGTTTTATAACTCAAACTTTCACCGCAATGTGCCACAATTTTGAAATGTGATGAATTAATTACTGCATTAATACTAATAATGGCAATAAATTTGTGATTAGTAATCTTCTAATTGCATGATTCTAAAAACAAAACAGTGGATCACATCCTGGAAATGATAGTAAAACCATTAAAATAAATCATTATTCTAACTATCATTTATTTCATCCCAATGCCCTAGATTTTATTACTTCTTTCAATATTTTGAAATTAGCCTGTTCAACAAATTAGACAGCCACTTCCTAATATAGTTAAGTAAAAGGTTGAAGTTATAACAAAAATATTGAGAAAATGTAATACAAAGAAGGCTCCTCAACTATAACAGCCAGTCAAGAAATAAGCTAAATACAAAAGTAAAAATTAGTATCCTCTAAAAAGAGTTCAAATGCAGAACATAACAGTCAAGAAAAAATATTCTTATGAGCAAGTGACCTTAATATTCAAGTAAGAGGACATTCCACAAATTTAAATCCATGCTTTACTTTATTTGCAGTTATAAAATTACCACTTCAATTACTTAATACACTCCCACGTTGTACATCTTTACTAGTTTGTTTTTAAACTCTGAAGTACATTAATTTTACTGAAACAGATGCAAGATTCGTAGACATATAGCTTCATCTTAAACTATAACAGTTTTTTTACCTCGCTGGGCACTACGACCACCCCGAAAGCCACCGCCACCACCACTACCACCACGTCCTCTGTATCCTCCTCCACTTCCTCTTGCATCTCCTTGTGTACACTCTCGAGCAAAATGTCCAGTACGGTGGCACTTATAACACTCACTGGAACTCATGATGGACTGTAGAATAATGAATTTGCCTATACTAACATTACTTTGTTGAAAATGTGTATTAGCTCTTCTGTTGCTCTTTACTAAATCCAAGGAACATTTGTTACATCAATATGCCTCAGGTTACAATCTTTAAATGGGTTCTCAGATTAGACCAACAGAGGAATGGGATTTTGTTATTAAATAAAAACTTCAGTCTTCTACTTCCATTAGATATAAATGCACATAAAAGCTTAATATTGTTTTAATACAATTGTCACAGAGGGTTGGATTCTAATGGGATTTTTGTGCAGCATTAGGTTGCACTCTTTGCAACATAAAATTTTGAAACCATACCTTTTTGGTGTTTTTTTTTTAGCTTTTGAACTTTGCTGTAAAATGCTATTTCATAAAAACAAAGGATGCACACTTTTGTCTTATTTATTGTGTGCACAAAACTTTGTCTTCTAGTTAAGCATAAGCTACATAATATTGACCCTGAATTTTAGGGTAAGAAGTCCTCAAGCTTACCACTGAGCCACCAGGGGACTACAAATATTTCTAAGTTTTTTTTCCAATAAAACTATAATTCTTTGTCTCTTAATAACACCATTAAAAATTCTACTATCACTGACATGCACAAAAGAAGAAACTAAAAAATAGTATACCAATGTAAAAACCAGAACCCTTTTAATATTATTGATCAGAAGAATCCATTATATAGACCAATCAGATTTAACTTATATTTATTACCACCTTAAAGTCTAAACTTTTTTTGCTATGTTTTTATTTGATCAATGAAACAATTACCTAAATCTTAGTAAAAAAAAAAAAAAAAAAAGGTTAACTGTAGCTTTCAAGTAAATATAACATAATAGAAATATAGCATCAACAAGAAAAATCAGAAACTATATAACAAAAATTCAGGCCCATAATTATTGACAACTATTTCTTAAACCAACAATCAACCTTGAAATGTGAATTTACCAAACTTTGTGAAATCCCTTAAGTATAGAAAAAAATGTTGCAAAGAATGGGTTTGCTAGTTGGATTAATTTCCAATCGGAACAAAAACATTTAAGACCAGAATGGAAGGTGTGTACACACTAGCTCCCTTGGCTGTTCTTTTCAGGAGAATGTAAGCTGTAACATAAGTATTAGTTTATGGTATCAAAAATTATGGAAGACAGAATATTATAAAAATATCCCCAAAAAATACAAATAATTTTTACTTAAGTGCAAGCCTTCACACCCACATGCTTAGCTAAAAAAACAACAAAAAACATTTAATAATTGTAACTTAAAAAAAAACAATCAGGCAAACCATTCTACTAATTAATAACTACAGAGAAATACTGTTAAATGTCTGCATCGTGTCTTCCAGGACATGTACTTTCAACCTTTTCATTCCACCAGCGTGACTCCTCCACATTGATACCTTTCTCATCAAAGCCTGCATGCAGTATTTCTAACAGTCTCACCATAGAGCTTAAGAAAGACTGTTTTATGGATTTCTTCTTAATAGTGTATAACATATTTGTCAGGGATTATCTTGAATTTAGCAAGCTTATTTATTTATAAATGTAAAATATTGAATTTTTTTAATTTTACAGTGCATAACAACAGCAATTAACAAAATGTAATAATTCTGAACTTTAGTGACTAGCATTGTTAAAATATGCAACAAAGACATAATACAAAAAAATGTAGGCTTCTTAACAAATTTCGATCTTAAAACTTAATATAAGATGACAAAGATACAAAAAATTGTATGCTTTATAAACAAGCTATTTTCTCCTTTATTATGAACTACATTTAACTTATCCCAGCCAACCACCTTTTCTTTTTGTATGAGAAAAAATTACTTGGAACAAGCTGTAAGAAAGATGGGAGTTTTCTGTCATGGTTGATTTGAACTGTTTATAATATGTGCTTTATTGAGTTAACTTTATATCAAACTATCTGTAGTAATATTTGTTCTCCAATAATTCACAAGATACAGAAACAAGTATCACAGACATCAGTATTAGGCTTATTGTATTTTAATTAATTATTCTTTATTTAATTTAGTGGTCTTACCGAATAGAGTTTATAACAGTATTTCAACTGGACAATGTTCACCACATTCATTACCAATGACACATTTAGGTCAATACCAGAAATCAACAGGTTAATTGAGATACAACAAACCTATCACTAGTGGTTAGAACACCTCTAGTGACGAAGCATGATTATAATCAATCATATATGTTGTAAGACAATAGAAACTGGGTTTTAAGTTCCTTATTCCAATGAATATATAAACAGTATTTCCACCACACATTGTCTTAACATATCACTGATGCATTTTCTCAATACCAGTTGAAATACAAGCTTGAATTACTATTACATATTTCTATACTCAGAAAAAAGTAAGGGACCAACTAAAGAATGTAGTGTTAAATACAATAAGCTTATAACTGTTGTCTTAAAAAATATAATAATCACGCTTCACCGGCAAAGATGTTTACACCATAACAAATATGACAGTTACACAATCCTAATTATTAAGCTACTTTGACAAAGTAATCGTAAATGTTCTATTACTAAATATTCCAACTTCAGTTTTATTTCTTTACATGCACATACCCACTTACAAATACTTCAATTTTTTTAAACCACATAATTCACTTAACAGATCAGATTGGTGCCATTATAAACATACACTACTGGAGAACATCCCATATTGTACACAAGACAATGACGAAGAAGGCTAAATACTGACACTTAACAGATCAGATTGGTGCCATTATAAACACACACTACTGGAGAACATCCCATATTGTACACAAGACACTGACGAAGAAGGCTAAATACTGAATTTATTTTTGAAGCAAACTTGTCAGACTCGAGCTCGAGGTAAGTGAATGTCCACTTGATGAAAAAAACAACAAAAACACTCCTTTACAAACCAGTAATAATCTAAACCAAAACTTTAAATTTCTTGTAACTTTAGAGTGTTGACAAACTTTTCTTCAGCGTAGTTGCACGGGATTTGCAGAGCCAGCTTCCGATTTTCAATTAGGATTTACTTAAAATATGATAAATACGCCTTCTTGTTACTGTTAGGCCTAGGATGTACCACATCCATTCTTTACGTCGGATATCCGAGAACTTTACCCTCCCACAATGCATTGTCTGCATAGCAACCCAGGTAAAGGGGCAAATAAATGGCATGACGAAGGGGAAATTTCTTTAATTCTGTACACTTGCCCACTGCTGTCTAGACTTGTATCTGTAACGATTATTTATATTTGTGATATTTTGTTGTTCCAAACCTGCAAGTATGATGTGAAAAAGGCCTGAACTTTTCTTCTATTTGATACCCTGAAAAGGGGGAGTAGTGTGTTGTGGCTGAAAGCTATCAACTGTAGAACACAGGAAGCAAGCTGTGAGAACCAAAGTCTGACTATGTGTTTTCAGCTCATTTTATATCATGTAAATAGTCTTCCAAATTTTTTAACACAAGCAACGTAACTGTCCATGAGTTAGCAGGGTGCTGGTAGGGACAAGAATCAAGCCCAATTAATAACTACTCAATATCTCTAATGCTTCGGTTGACAGCTCCTCCATGTATTGACAAGACACGGCAAATGATAATTTGACTATTAAACTATGAATGATGATTGAAGAATTTGCACAGCAGTTTCAGCAGTAACAGGTGTATACAGTAGAACTATATAAATTGCATACATGCAACTGTACTCGCTTTGCTATTGTTTGCCTTTTTGTCAAGATTCTGATCTTGTAACCAGACAAAATCCCATGACTGTAACGTCACATTGACCTCAAAAATGTGTAACTTGTAAAAATTTTGCAAACTAGTTGCTATTAACACACCAATTTTGAATAATAAAATAGTTTATTCTCAATAACAAGTTATCATGCAAATTAAAATACAAATTGACTTAGCATAATGGATCAAGTCTGCATCCAAACATAGGGTCAAATCTGTGTAAGAGGTTAATTCTGTATAACGTATGGAAAAATCAATAACTGGGGGATAAAAAGCTCAAAATTTTCATTGTGTATTAGCCATAAAACTAAGCAAAAAAATTTATATTTATTGAAAAACAATGTTTACTGTAACTTCTTAAGTTTAAACATATTATAAGATATATATCAACCCATATTTTAACTTCTTAGGTAGAATTAACGTGTTAATCATAATGCAGTGCAGTCCTTTTTAGTATCGACCAACTATGCAAAATTCGGCGTTATTCAAACTGTGTTGTATATAAAATAAATACATCCTTTTCGTTTAACTTCAACCCTAACGTCAAACTAAGTTAAAATTATTGAATACTGTTAAACTATCACTATAGGATAGGTATATACTATTATTACAATATTGGTATTGGTGAACTTGCGTATCTTAACTTTCTGCGTTTGTAATAATACTAATATAAAGAATTATCACTATTTTTACCCTTAGTGATTTACATTTTAAAGTATACTATACAGAACGTAAGTTAGCATACAAAAGTAAGGCTTTTAAAAGTTACAGGTCTAAAACGTTAAGCCAACAACTTAAGCCTTATCATGCAGTTAATAGGCCTAACGAGGCCTAAATCGGTATTGGATAAAGAACCTATTCAGTACCAAACGATTTCCAAAGGACCAAGTTGAAATTATACATAAAAAGGGAAATTATCAACTTCTTTTATTATTTGCTCATGTAGATTTTTTTCACATTTAAAAGTCTTAGAAAATGACAATACTTTTCATTACTAACTGCCGAAATGTAAATTCAATAAATACAACTATTTACTTACCTACAGAAATCACACAAATCTCTCAACGAACTTGTTCCAAAATGGAAGAAATGCCACTTTCTGATAACGCGCCTCACACGTGGGACTTTTGCACACGAACCTCTAAAATCACCAAACTGCCATCTAGTACTGATAATTTGAAATAATTTCAAGGTCTCCAGGACATGCAACCTGTTTTAAGTAAATATTTCCTGAAAGTGTTTTCAGCATTTTCTTTCAACTAATTATACCATGACTTTACAAAAACAAATAATTGGAGCATGTTAGAATGTTTTCAAACTTTCAACTAGTACCATTAGAGTGCTAATTTAGGATTAAATGATATTTCAAAATAGTATATATTGATGGATATATTTTTATAAATGCTCTTAACAATAAATATCGGATACACTGGGAATTATAACCAGCATCGTACTTCTAGAATAACAGCAGTTTGTCCAAATGTTTAATCTATTTAACCTAAACTACGTAAATGTATTCACACACTTGCTAAAATTCGTAGGGAGAGGTAAACAAAACATTATAAAATGCAAAATTTGAACTGAATCATATACACTAGTGTCATCTGGTGAGAGTTAAATAACTTTTAACACAAATATTATGTTAATTTAATGGAACGATTTAGGTTTAAAATTGTAACGGGTTTCAGTGCATCAGAAAACAATTACATGGATTGCAAAAATTAAAAAAATTTTGTTCGTTTGTTTGTTTTAGAAAATATTTATTTCTATAAACGTACTATTTTAGTTAAGTTAGGTATATTTTTGTGCTAATCGTCAAATAATTTTGCTGACAAGTGAGACAAAAGACCACTTTAAAATTATTTATTTACTGCCCAAAATAGTGGTTAATTTCTAATTCTGATTTTATGCAAAATATAAATTTTCAAGGCATAATAAAGAGAAGGTATTATTAGTTTAAAGTCGTAAATATTTTGTTACGAAATCACTACGGTAATATTGCACAACATCGGTAAAAGCAAAAGCTGATAAAACTTACTTTGAAGCTTATGTATTATAATCCAAATATAGGCTTATGTATGTAGTTTTACTTCATTCAAATTAAACTAAAAATATATTAAAAGTAAAATACGTATTCGTACTTTTTTGAAGAAAAATTATTTTCATAATCCTGTCAATGCAAGCTTTAAACTATTACCATGGTGCTGTCATCTATTGAGAGTTATATACATTCAATGTAAAACTTTTTGAAACTTTCTGTTTTTTGCGAAAAATATGATCGTTTTAACAACCAACTGAGAGTTAAAGAATTGATTTATAATTTAAATATTAAAATAAAACTAACAAGATTTAAATCATATATTCATTTAGGTTTACTTAAGTTATTATTTAGTTGATTTCTATGTAAGATATATCACAATAGA